CGAAGCTGTTCACCACGTATGCGGGCCATGAGAATCGGCAAGCAGAGTCCGGCAGGCCGAGGCCCCTGCTGGTTCGAGAGGCGTAAGCATCCTCACGATTTGTGCTGCAGAGCGTTCGAGCTGACTTGGACCACAAACAGGGCCGAAATAACGTCGGCCGCTCCAGTGTACGTACGCGTCAATTCCATAGGATAACGTGGAAAAATCGCAAAAGGACACGATCGAAGACGAGCTGACATGCGCCAGGTACTTTCCGGCCAAGCGTCTTGGGTCGTCCACTTCGTCATACTATGACGGGCTGGAGATTCCATTGCTACACGCGCGGTCCGAAGCGCTACGGCTGTGTCCTCGCAAGACGGTTCCTGATTACATCCTCTCGGCAGGTAACGGGGTGATGAAGGCAACCCCAAACGGCATGTCGAACTCACTGTCTCGATTTGCTCACTTTAGCCTGGAATCTCTGTGGGGATACCGGCAGTATCAGAGACTAGGTGGGCCAGCGGGTGAAGCGTTCAATGAGTTCCGCATCGACCCCACTCTCGATATGGAAGCGGTGGCGCTGGACGACGCAGATGCCATAGGCAAGCTGATTGGACAGCTGGACCGAGAATTTCTCGTCAATGAAGACCTGCATCACCGTGTGCAACAAATCTCGCTAGTCATGATCGCCTCTCTATTCTATTTTTCATTCGACACGACAACGCGAACCACTAGACGCGGTAAGATACTCTGTAGAGGATTCGTCGCTTGTAGGTATGGAGACGACCCATCAGTCACGAGAGTGCTCGCGACTCGGTTCAAGGGACTTTCCCTCGTGGTAGCTGGCAATGAGTATGAGATCGCTGCGGACGAGCGGACCGTCGTGAGCCTCACTTTGCCGTCGTGGAGCGTTCCCTTCGATATCAGGCTTAAGTACAATGATACGTCCTCTTCAATCTCCGGATTTCCACAAACTGCCGACGCCTTACTTGACTTACAAGCTCATAGTGACGGTAGCGTATATATAGACCAGTCGTTGCGGAAGAGGAAGCTCTCTAGGACTGGAAACATATCGG